ATTTTATAATACATAAGTATAATAATTTTACTTAGAAAATGTATATTTAAGTGTAATTCTGTAAAGGAAAGTTATATATGAGCATTGCGCATAATGATAATGCATAGGTAAATATGGTATAATAAAAAATGATGCTACATTGAAATATTACATGATACATATATATTTTCTCTGTTTTATGAATAATCAAGTTCATATAATTACTATACTGAGGAAATTTTTATATACTAGAAATATATTAAGGTTAAAAAAATTTATATATATGGAAAAAAAGGGTAAATGTTGCATAAAGAACACTTCAAATTCGTTAAAAAGTTAAATTTATTAATAAGAAAACTAAATGAAATACATAGATAATATGAATTGAAAACATTTCTGGGATATGCAGAATGCTCATAAATTGTGTTCTTATATTATTATATAAAGTCCATTGAGATTTTATAGAGAAAATAAAATTAATGTATGAATATGTACAAAAATATTCAGGCATTATTGTGGTTAGAAAGTCAGTTATATATAATAATTGCTTAGCGATAAATGACTAGAAGTAAAATGAATAATTTTTAGTCTTTTTAACAATAGCTGCTGATTATATATCAAGAAAGTAATATACGTTGATATAATTTATATGCTTGTAGAGTATGTATTCTTAAAAGAAATAAAATATATCACCGCGTTAATATATTACATAATAGTTATAATTTTCCCTATTAAAGTTCTACCTAACTCTACTTACTCATTTATCCCATAATATTTTTGAAAGAAAAAGCAATATTGAATTATAGGAAAAATGCACGCGTCTAATATAAAATATTAAAACAAATACATAAAAAATTCAGGATGTTTCGATATAAATATATATTCTCTAATAGGAAATACGAATCATGAAGTAACGAACAATGGTAATTTTTCTTATTAATAATAACTTCTTTTAAAATTAAGTAACAATATATTACAGAAACGTAACATATTTACAGTTATACATATGCTAAAAAATTTTGATATATAAATATACAATTTAAAATGTCGTCAAAAGGGCTTAATAGATGTTCTTATCAAAATATTATATTATTTATTAAATATAGAACATACATTTACTATGAATGCACATACCTTTCCTATATTTTATTACATACATCAGGAGTTATATGAAAAGCTTCTTAAACACATAAATAGAAATTATTCATTATATTAAACAAAAATTAATAAATGATCCTCATAATATGAGGGTGTTTTAAATATGTAACCTTAAAAATATTTATGAAATATTTAAACATCTTACGAAGATTTAATACATAGTTATAATATTCAAAATAATTTCATGTTTAACTCAAAAATATTATTTATAATTTTTAATATATATGAATAATAATTGCTCATAAACATTAAATATAAATCATTTCTCTAAATTTCATAACATGATAAATTATTTTTATAATGTTATGCATGTATAGTGTACATAAGTTTTTCAATTTTTTTATATTCATTATTAAATGTAAAATTCATACTTAATCTCTAGTACAATATAGTTCTATAATTTATATAACATTTGCTGTATTTATTACTTAGAATATACATATGACATTTTTAATATTAATTGGTCACTTATAACATATTATTAAGTAAATATTGAATAAAATATTTCTTATATATATATTGTTTTTAAAAGGAATATTATTTTTTAAATAACGAAAGGTTATTCCTTAAATTTTGTTGAAACATAGTTAAATAATACATAAAAAGAAAATGAGTAATTAAATAAATGCCACAACTATATGTGTTTACACAAATTTTCACGACTCACAACAAGTTATAGCAGAGTCATTATAATATATATAATATAACTTTCGTACTGTACGAAATAAGAATATAATGAAGAAATAACATCTATTTTAAATATAATATGTGAAGAATGACACAACGAGGCCATTTCAATACATAAAACTTATATAGATATAAATATTAAACACGAAATATCAGTAACAAAATATATATATTCTTTATTAAATAATCTAATATATAGGAAAGAATAATGTAAAATATCTGATTTTAATCACGTTATTAATCATAGTACCTAACGTGTTAGATTAGATATATATAATAATATATTATCTTTATTAATAATATTAATTGAAAATAAAAATATAATAATGTTTACAAAAATAATGTTATATATATACTTAAAAAGAACGTAAAAGTATATGCTAATCATGATAATTCATGAGCACCCAGGTTATACAATCTATAGTACATATTTGTCAATGTAAATATGGGTTCTTAACTTCCTTATATATAGTGCATTATAATCTTAATGGAATTAAATATATTGCAAGTAAATTAGATACATTATATTAACATATACCGAAAAATAAATATTTGTTAAATATAGTATCCATTTAAAAATTAAAATAATACAATGTTTATTTATGAATTAATAGGGATGTATGATTCTCCGACAAATATTATATTATATATACTATGATATATATTATAAAAATTATATTTAGCTATTTTATTAAATTTTTCTATATACATTTTTCATTACTTCCAATAAATAAATAGCATAAATAACATTAAAATCTTCGTAAATTAATAGAATAAAAAGATATTACTTGTGCAATATTTATTATTTATATATTTCTTTTACAAGATATTACACATCAATTTGAGGCTTTTTTCATTCATTAAAATTTTGATATATTCCTTATGTGAGATGGGTATTATTAATATAATTATTTATTTGACATTCCTTTGGGAATTTATGCTTTACGCATACATCCAGTAAGTATTATATCAGGTCATCATATATATACACATATATTTTATTTATTTGATTTTTTTATTAAGTAATACATTTATAGCTCTCTTCACTTACGCTTAGTAAATTTTTAAAAATTACAAAAATTATTATTTATCAACGCTACAAGTTTATTTAAATGTTTATACATCTATTTTAAGCTATCATTCTATAATATATAACATATATTAATCCATATAAATAAGTATTTTTTACTAGATTTATTTAACAATAATTATAATACATTTTATTATATTGTTTCTTATTTATAATTTCATCATTATTCTTAATTCACAAAAAAATATAAGTTATTTTATAATTTAATTGTAATTTTATGCTACGTTATTTTATATAATTATTTAGTTTTTCATACAAATATTCATATATGTTGTTTCATTTCTTGGATGAAATTATGTTTAATTTATTAATTTTGATATAGTTTTATTAAGTATAGTCTAATGAACTATATTCTATAATCCTTGTCAATAGAGTTTTTGTATGCACTATCGAATGAATCGAATAATGTAACATATTCTTCATCTTATTTATTAAAAATTCTTTTTACTTTCACTAATAATTGTCTTAAATATTATCTATAAAACGTATACTAATAATAAGGACACAATATTGTACTTATGTGTATAGAAAACTTATTAGATACAAATTTCCTAAAAATGCGTAACATAAATATTATATATTTCATATAAACTGATTTTTTGTTAAACCTTATATAAAATGAATATAATTGTTGATATTGCAAATGTTATAATTGTTATAGTTAAAAATGTTTCTCTTGTATGTGTGAGCATTGAGGAATATATGGGTCCAGAAACATCTATTTGTGAATGTGTATGCTCAGAAACATCTTTATTTTGAGGATCAGCTTCATTTTCTTTAATATATTCAAGTTTAAATAAATCTAGAACAGTGCAAAAACTTGCTTGCTTCACATCTTGCCATTTATTTAGAAGATTTGTATATTTATTAAAATATTCATTATTGTAAGGGCAAATATAAGTATCACTTCCTAATATTTTAAGACTATTATACAATTTGTTTAGATCGTTAAAATTTTCAAAATTATCAACTGTAAGTTCATCAATGTACTGCTGACACACTTTAGGCACACTCCTGAAATTCTTTTGAACCTTTTGATTTATTATTATATTATAAGCATTTTGAGTGCTCTTATCAGGACAGTAATAATGATTTAATAAATATTTTAGCTTAAAATTGAAATAATTACAACACGGTTTTATATTATTAAGAGGGAGATTATTTTCTATATAATCTAAATATAGAACAAGCTCTTTACATTTTGCTATAAAAGATTCACTAATACCTTGACGACGTTCTAGGTACATAATTATCATTGTACATGTATTTTTAAGTATATAATCGTCATTTATAGCTTCACTCGAATGCATATTAAAACTTTTTAAACATGTGGGGAATATATCCTTAAAATCAAACTAAAAATTAAAGTCATAAGGAAAACAAATTTTCAATATAATACATAGAATAAAATATTTATTCTTGTTCTTCCATACATAACAAGATTTACAACTAATGTAATATAAATTTTAATAGATATAATATGTGAGAACTCACGTCTTCATTTACACCTGGTGTCGAAGACATTGCCTAAATTTAATAATAAAAAAAAAAAAGTTTATATTTTTGCTATTAATGTTTTAGCGTACAAAAGTACAGTGTTCTTTTTTTAATCATAATATTTTGTTTTGTTTTTTACATGATGAATGAAATATTATTTATTTATATTCAATATAATTTATTTAAGATAGTAATTTATATGTGTTTATATTAATAAAATTAATAGTATGTATTAATAATATAGCCATTATTAGAATTTATTGTTATAATATTATGGAATATAGATGATTAGTAAAATATCCTTATTGATAATTATATATATTTATTTTTTCTTATATGAATAAATATTATAGATCGACTGATTATATAATATATTAATATAATTGATGAATTTGTACTAATAATTGTCAACATGTTTATGGAGATTTCTTTTTTTTAATTTTTATAATAACACATGTTATTTTTTTATTTCTACTATATCCCTATTGTATGTAATAATTTATATATTTAATCTAGATACCACTGCTTATTCCTTATATCTTCAATTTTAAATATATAATCATTATGTATACTTTATGTATTCTTTTATAATCTATGATTTATATACTTTATTTTTATTATAATAATAGTTATAATTATGCTTCTATATTGTTATTAATATAGTTATTTCTATTAATATTGTATAACATTTAAAATATTATTTCGATAAAAACATTTAATATTTATATATAAAGAGATATGTTTCATTTTATTATTGCAATGTAACAAATATTATTATTATACATTATCTTATTAATTCTCCTAAATTTTTCAAATAGTTTATATTAGCATGCACGAAATAAATATATAATTAAAATATTTTATTATATATTATTTATGGTAATTTAAAGGAGAATTTATTTGAGCATATTGAAAAAACATTTTTTTGAAGAATAAATATTCATTTTATAATTTATAAAATAAAGAATTAATTTAATATAAATATTATAAAATATATAATTGTTATTCTGTAAATATTAAACTAAATATATTTAATTAATATTAACATATATGAAATTTTTTCATGATGTAATATTTATTATATATGAAGTAAGAAAAGTAAAGATTGTATTATTTCTGAATTTATTAAGATATTTAATAAATTTTTCTTTTTATTGTAATAATAAAATATTTAATGTTATTTATATACGTATAATATTTTCTGTACTTATAGTTAATAACTTATTTTCCTTTTTTTATGAATTAACTAGTTTATTATATTATAACTTATGAACGTGTCAAAAAATAGTGTTTATAATTATTATTATATGTTCTTATTAATATTATAACAAAGAAAAGATTATTCAAAAATATGATGCACTAACAAAAATGTTATAATTAATATTATATTAATTATCATGTAAATACATAATATAATGTACTATAAAGGATATAAAATAATATATGTAAAACTATTCATAAGAAATAAATTATATAAAAATCGTAAAATATATGTAAGATAAGTAATTATTAGGTGTGTTTTCTTTCGTCCACCATTATTAAATATATGCTTTATATTAGTTTAATTTATTTGTTAGTCTATTGTATTCATCATAAAACACGATTATATATTATACAAATATTCATATAATTTGAATAATTATATTCACATACATAAATAGTAAACAATGCATGTAAATTTTTTTTAATATTTAAAAGGTAAAATATATTTTTTCTTTATGCACTAGAATGTACGTGTAATCATAGTAGGTAAATATGTAGTGTACATGTATATTTTTGCAACACGATGGGGAAAATATATATATGGAATTAACTTGATCATGGTTTCATTTAAAAATTTACATAACAATAGCTAAATTCCATTAAGAATATATTACTATAATATCATATGAAATCTGTTTCAATATATTTTTCCTTGAACATATAATTTTATATAACATGAAAAAAAAATATTCCTTTTTGTAGGAAAAGAAAAAGATAATTTGGATTAAATAAGTATATTTATCATTATTATTCGATGTATTATATAGTGTAAAATATGAAAAATTATTAAAATTATATAAATAATACATAGGAAAAATATGTGGATACATATTACAGAACTACCTAGAATTATTATATATTAGCAAAAATTTATTAAAAAATTATTATTATAAAAAGCACCTATATACATTAAGACATAAAAGAATAAATAATGTCCTATGATAGAATTGTAATATAATAAAAAATTATATAAATTATTTGTGTTTACTAGATTTAGATATTATAAGTGTATTCACTATGTTTGTTCTATTAATATAATTATACAGTTCTGAAGATTATATAAAATAAATAAAAAACGAATCTATTATATTAATATATTTCTTTATTATTTATACTTAATAAGACAATGCATATGTATATATTTTATATAATTATTATATTTGTATAAATTGCACTTTCTTTTAAATTTTCATTATTTTTTTTCTTTATTATTTCAAAATTGTGCATAGTACTTAGGATTGAAGTAAGTAAAGGGGTTATTTTTTTATTTACACGAATATAATATGCTGTCTATACTTATTCGAATTATATATGTTATATATAAATCAATAGCATTTTAAAAAAAGATTATATTTAATTTATGTAATGTTATTTCAAATTTTTAATATAGCTATATACTGAATAGATATATATTAAGAAAAATATACTATATGTATAAAAAGAATTTCAAACAAGCTAATGATTGTATTAAAAAATTATATACAATAATTTATTCTCTCATTTAATATATTTTTATAATACATTTTATTATGTAAAATGATATAACCTGTAACATCTTATTAATAATTTTTGCTTAACATTCTTTATATGTTATTTATTTAAATCTATGTAAATATACTTTTTAAAACCTTTAGAAAAACTTTAATTAATGTGCAAATATTTTTCCTTTATTTTTTTCTGATTTATTTAAAGAGTATGATATACACATTATTATTCTTTTATTGCTAGTATTTATTAATCATTAATTTATTATATTTATCTACTAGGGAACATATTTCTATTGTCATATACTCATATTTATGTTATTTATTTATTTTTTTTTTTTATGTATTTGTTTCAAATTTTATTGTAACCCATATTAAATAATATTTTATTGCACTACTGTATAATGTGTTATTCCTTTTAATACATTATTTCATTTCTAGTTACTGTCCTATGATACAAACAATTATTGCTTTATAAATGTAAACATTTATGAGAATTGATAGTATATTTTATTGAATACCCTTATTTGTATGTAATAAATAATAATGTTCTATATTTGTCATGGCATATATATAGACAATTACATATTT